GCGGTGGCCGCCCCCGGCCCCTGCAGCCTCGCCTGCTGGGCTCCGGCAATCCTCCTGCCTCAGCCTTCCAAGTAACCAGAATTACAGGCATGCACTACCATGCCGGGCTGATTTTTTGATTTATTGTGGAGATGAGGTCTCGCTGCCCAGGCGGGTCTCGAACCCGCGGGCTCAGGCAATCCACTCACCTCAGCCTCCCAAAGGCGCGGGATTACAGGCTGAGCCACCGAGCCCGGCTGAGATCAGGTACGCTTATTGATGAAGTGTACCCTCTCACCCCTGGCAGTTTGCCACTACTGCCAATCCCTTTCATATAGTATTATGATAATTGTTCAGGGTCTGCTTATGAGTGAGACCATGTGATACTCAGCTCTTTGTTTCTGTGATAGATCACTGAGTATTATAGACTCTAAATCCATCCAAGTTGCTGCGAAGTTCATAATTTTGTCCTTCTTTATGGCTGCATAATATTCCATTGTATATATGTACCACATTAAAAAAAAAATCCTAAGTATGATAGTCTCCAACTCCATCCAATTTACTGCAAAGTTCATTATTTTGGACCACTTTCAATGGGCAGCATGGTTGGTTTCATGTTTTTGCTATTGTGAATAATGCTGCATAAAACCCCTCTTTTCAAATTGGGTCCCATTCTTAGGTACTGGAAGTTAGGATTTCAACATAACTTTTTTGTGGGGGTGGGGAGCACAATTCAACCCATAACACAAAAACTAACAGAATTTACTTTTCAGAGACTCTTACTGAAAGAATCTACTGAAGGATTTCCTTCTTCAAGAAGGAAATTAAACTTAGAGGAAAGAAGTAGTATACAAAGAGAAACGATGACCAAAAAATGGAGAGAATACTCTTGTCTAAGACTACACTGTTCTTAAACAGTATAGTCAGTACTTTTTGTTTGCTTGTTTTGTTTTGTTTTGTTTTTTGAATTGGAGTCTCACTCAGTCGCCCAGACTAGAGTGCAGTGGCTGCTGCCGGTCACCGCAGCCTCGACCTGCTGGGCTCCGGTGATCCTTCCGCCTCAGCCTTCCAAGTAGCTGCAACTACAGGCGTGTGCTACCACGCCCGGCTTATTTTTTGATTTATTGTAGAGATGAGATCTTGCCAAGTTGCCCAGGCGGGTCTCGAACCCGCAGGCTCAGGCAATTCACTCACCTTGGCCTCCCAAAGCACAGGATTACAGGCTGAACCACCGAGCCCGGCTGTATAGTCAGTATTTGAACCCAGGTTGTCTGACAACTTAGCCCATGCTCTTAAGTTTTATAGTTCATATATCTCTATGATGACTATTTCAACAATCTTATGAGGTAGGTAATGTATAGGAAAGTATTTCAGATTTTGTTTGAATTTCAATATTCAGTCACTATTTATTGATCATCTGTAATGAAGTCCTAAGAAGGTCCCAGAGAATCAAAAGTCATGGATCAGACCCCCCTTTATTTTTTAAACTAAATAAACCTTCTATGTACCTGACTGCTGCGTGTTTTTTAAATCTTTCTCAAATTAGGGGGAAATGACAGTTTTTTTTTTCTGAAACATGTATTTACATTCAGTATTTTTATTTATTTATTTATTTATTTTGAGGAGGCATCTCACTCTGTTCCCCAGGCTGGTGTGCAGTGGCACACTCATGGCCACCGCAGCCTCGACCTCCTGGGCTCAGGCGATCCTTCTGCCTCAACCTTCCATGTAGCTGGAAATACAGACATGCACCACCATGTCCGGCTAATTTTTCTGATTTATTGTAGAGATGAGGTCTCATCAAATTGTCCAGGCTGGTCTTGAACCCATGAGCTCAGACAATCCTCTCACTTCAGCCTCCCAAAGTGCTGGGATTATAGGCCTGAACCACCACTCCTGGCCCTAGTATTTATTTTGTATTTCTTCCCTGTGAGGCACTGTGATAGATGTTCTAGGTATAAGTAGTAGGAGAACCATTATCCCATAGTTCTTGAGTTCAAGGATCTCACAGTCTAAAAGGAAAAACAAATTTTTTTTTTTTTTGAGTTGGAGTCTCCCTCTGTCACCGACTGGAGTGCAGTGGCCACTCCTGGCCACCGCAGCCTCGACCTGCTGGGCTCCGGCGATCCTTCCGCTCAGCCTTCCAAGTAACTGGAACTACAGGTGCGTACTACCACACCCGGCTAATTTTTTGATTTATTGTAGAGATGAAATCTCGCCTGCCCAGGCGGGTCTCGAACTCGTGGGCTCAGGCAGTCCACTCACCTCAGCCTCCCAAAGGCGTGGGATTACAGGCTGAGTCACAGAGCCCGGCTGGAAAAACAAATTTTTTTAAAAAGTGTGTGTTATGTGCCTTGAGAGAGGAAGAAGAGAGGACCTCCTTGAGAGGAGTTCAGAGGAGAGATTATCTTTGTTTTGGATGACAGAGAATGTGATGACCATTTGCTGGACTTTGAAAGACAAACAGGAAAATCAACTACTTCAACTATTTATTGAGTACCTACTGTGTGCATGCTGCTATGCCTGAAGCATTTCATCCTGATCTCATTCCTCACAATAACCTTGTTAGGTCAACATTGTCATTCTCAAATTAAACATGAGGAGATTGAAGCTCATCAAGTTCATCAAGAATAAACGACTTTCTCAACATCACACTCTAGAAAATGGAACCAGATAGACCTAGGCTCAAGGTAGTCCAAGTGTTGAGCCCAGATCTGGCTGGTTCCAAATTTCCTGCCCTTTCATCTTTCTAGCAGTTTTTAAAGTAGGTAAAACATTCGTTTTTTTCCATTTCCAAAAGTTAATTATCTAGCCTTCTTGTTAAAAAATGCCAGATTTTTTTTTTTTTTTACAGCAGAGGCTCTTAAAAAAGTGGTCTGCAGACAACTTGCATCATCAGGTCCTGGGAGGAGTTTGCAAAAGTGCAAATTTCCAGGCTCTACTCTCAAAGATTCTAAGTAAGTAAGTTTGGGATGAGACTCAGCCAGAGACCCTATATTTTTTCAAACAAATGTATTCGGCCTGTCTGGAGAACAACTGTGTCTGTCTAGAAGATCTTCGAGAAGGATTCAGTAGAAATAAATTCTTGGGAAGAACACTCCAACCAAGCTTTCTAATGGTCTTCTCCATACTGAAACGCCTGAGGTTCGGAACTTACTCTTGCTCATTCCTGACAGCACAGGGACTATCTGAAGGACTGAACCAATGATGAGGGTTTGACCTCATCTACATACATCTCAAATTAGCAGCACAAACTAAACGGTTTGTCAAATTGCTTAGAGCCACACACGAAATCTGCGCGTTGGGATGTCTGGAAGATGTGGAGTAAGAAGCAGACTTGATCGATCACATGGGTTAGACGATTGAATCCGAATCCCGAATACTTGAAGGGTCGTTCGCCCGGAGAAAGGGAAAGAAGCCGGGTTAGTCCGACTCACGCGCAGGCGCAGAAGAAAGGCGGACGCTCAAGCTAAGGCACGCCTTCCTCCACCCTTTTTCAGGCAACTCCCACTGCGCAGGCGCATAGAGTGCGCCAAGATGGCGGCTCCCGTGGATCTGGAGTTGAAGAAGGTAAAAGAGGGTCTTGAGAAGGCAAAGGCTTCTCTTTGGAGGTTGAGGAAACTGTGGACAAGTATGTCGAGTGAGGCCCGAATGTCGAGGGAGGAAAGAGGCCCCAAGGGACGAGGGAATGGCTTCCCAAAGCCCTAAGGCCGGACCGGGTCCTTAAGCTGGGGTAGGAGCGAGCGGCTCTTGCAGGATAGAAGCCGGTTGGTCTGGGTTGGGTAAGTCTGCGGGCCTATCGTGGGCCTGTACCCTTGTTCTGAGCTCTAGAGCCATTTCGTTACTTTTGGAACCTTCAGGGACTCTGTTTCACAGTAAGAACTGAAGAGAGGATTTTAAATTGAAGCCTCTTCGGACTCCTTGCCTGAGCTGCTTATAATTGTGCCTCGTTTGCTTTTTTGAAAAACTCCAAGTCCAACCTTTGTTTTTAGGCCATTTATTCAATCCCATACCCTGAAAGGCCTCGGTATCTTAAGGAAGTCAGACATAGTAACAGTAATGTTTGTAACCAATGTTAAATTCAGGGCACCTTCCCCCTCTCTTTTTGAAGGACTTGTAAAAAAAAAAATTCCAGTCAGGTTTTCCAAATAAAATAGTATCAGAAAGATTTGGATTTCTCTCTTTGTCCAAATATTCTAACGCCACTGATGATCTAAAACCGTATGCTTTTTGGGGTGGGGGTGTGTGGGTTGAGAAGGACCGTAGAATTGATCTACTTTAAATACACTTTTCTAGAAAAAGAGTCTCAGTCAAAGGGTGGGACAAGAATCCAGTATTCTCTGTCTTACCTCACGTTTTTTGGCTCATTAGTTTAGGTTCTTCAGATGAGCAACATCTTAAGACCGTCTCTGGTCAAAGTGCATAAGAAATAGGACAGGGCAACCTCCTCGGGTCCCTTCCCACTGTGGGAGCTTTTCTGTCCTCTCAATAAATCCTGCTTTCTAAAAAAAAAAAAAAAAAAGGAAAAAGAAAAAAGAAATAGAACAGCTGAAATTGCTCTTGCTCATAGTAAATGAAGCTGTTTGTTATTGCTCTGAGGATATTATGTGTTTTTGTCTTTTTTTGGTCATTCTTGTCTTGAATCTTGTAAATTTAGACTTTATGCAGTGTTTTCTAATATTGTAATATTGCATCTTTAACAATGTGCTAGCTTTCATAGCAAGCTATGCAGAGCAGTCAGATAATACCTGGAATTTTACATTTCAAAACAAGATTGTGCATTTAAAAATTTTACCTTTTCTTCTGTTAAAAGTTCAAATTTAAGTTAAAGGTTAGTGAAAGAGCTAACAGGAATACAATTGTGAATGTACTTGTCTCCCATACTGTTTGAATTTGTTGCTAAGAAATGTGGACAATGAACGCATGCTAAGAAAGTAATTATGGACTTAATTTGAATAGTTTTGACAACCAGCTGAATAAAAAAAAGAAACTTGTTTCTTAAAGGTTTTTTTTTTTGAGTTGGAGTCCCACTGTCACCCAGACTGGAGTGCAGTGGCCGCTGCCGGCCACCGCAGCCTTGACCTGCTGGGCTCTGGCAATCTTTCCGCCTCAGCCTTCCAAGTAGCTGGAGCTACAGGCGCGCGCTGCGACACCCGGCTAATTTTTGATTGATTGTAGAGATGAGGTCTCACCAAGTTGCCCGGGCGGGTCTCGAACCCGCGGGCTCAGGCAATCCACTCTCCTCAGCCTCCAAAGCACTGGGATTACAGGCAGAGCCACTGAGCCCAGCTCTCTTAAAGGTTTTATCATCTACTATCTAGTGGAGACTAATAGGAAATTCCAGGCACCTCACCTCTCCTAAAGTAACCCTTTCCAAACCTTATGAACCTTATTGGTAGGTGAGAACAGTCAGAATAAAATTATGTAGTAGCCTTTGTCATATTATTGCAGTCACAAGTATTATTATTAAGGTGTAAATTTGACAGCATGTGAAAATCATTCCAGGCACTTCAACAAGAATATCCAAGAACTGTTTATCTTTGAGTTAAGTAAGTGTATGCAAGGGTCAAATTTGACCTGGTATATGTGGATGAAGATCATGAAGCAATTCTTCTTCCAGTGCTTTGCATTTTTTTTTTTTTTTTTTTTTTTTTGAGTTGGAGTCCCATTCCATCGCCCAGGCTGGAGTGCATTGGCACTCTCATGGCCACCCCAGCGTTGACTTGCTGGGCTCAGGCAATCCTTTCACCTCAACCTTCCAAGTAACTGGAACTACAGGCGCATGCTACCATGCCTGACTAATATTTTATTTATGTATTGTAGAGATGAGGTCTCGCCAAGTTGCCCAGACTGTTCTTGAACCTGAACCTGTGGACTCAAGCAGTCCCCTCACGTCAGCCTCCCAAAGTACTAGGATTACAGGCTTGAGCCACTGTGTCTGGCCCAGTACTTTGCTTTTTTTTTTTTTTTTTTTGAGTCAGAGTCTTACTCCTCACCCAGGCTGGAGTACAATGGCATGCTCACTGCCACCCTAGCGTCAACCTGCTGGGCTCAGGTGATCCTTCTGCCTCAGCCTTCCAAGTAGCCAGAACTATAGGCGCATACTACCATGCCTAGCTAATTTTTTCATTTATTGTGGAGACAAGGTCTCACCAAGTTGCCCAGGCTGGTCTTGAACATGTGGGTCCTGGCGATCCTCTTGCCTCGGCCCCCCGAAGTCCTGGGATTATAGGCTTGAACCACCACCCCGGCCCAGTACTTTGCATTTTATCTCCTCTTTTTTTGGTCATTCTCTTTAAAATATTCATATTCCGAGTATTACTGTAGACAGTAAAGTGGAACAATTCCTGAGCTAAGGAGGAAGAAGAAATGGATTTAAAACACCTGCCTTTCCACCCATTGCTTATTCAACCTGTGCAAGCCACTTTTATTTCTCTTTTTTTTGGGGTCAGGGTCTTAATGTGGTGCCCAGGCTTGAGTGTGGTGGCATGATAATGGCTCACCAAAGCCTTGAACTCCTGGGCTCAAGTGGTCCTCCTGCCTCAGCCTCCTGAGTAGCAACTGCAGGCACACACCACCATGCCTGGCTAATTTTATTGATTTTTTTTTTGTAGAGACGAGATTTTGCTATTTTGCCTAGGCTGGTTTTGAACTCCTGGTCTCAAGCAATCCTCCTGCCACTGTACCTGGCTCCACTTTTATCTCAGTTCATTTACTTAATTTGTAAATTGTAGTTGATGAAACTGCCATCCATAACTCATAGGATTATTGAGAGGAGTAAATGGCATATATATTATTATATACCTCATTATATTTTCATATTAATGTTCCCATGTTAACATTTCAAATTAATATGGGAAAGTGCTTTGAAACCTTGTTGTGTAGTACAAATGTAGTTGTTACTTTTATGATTCTTGTTTTGAATCTCTGAGTTCCCTCTGACTATTGCATTTATTGCTTTTATTACTCGAATACTTGCTATTTAATATGGTTATTATTTAGTGTGCTTTTGTTTTGCTTCAAGTTGATTGTATCTTGAGGATTGAGTAAATTCAGTATTTAGCATGATGACTTGATTGTTTACAATTATATTGACTTTTATTGATGTTTGCTTTGGTAAATTTCACAGCTTTGTTTCTGGTTATCATGTTTTATTTTAATATACTTGGATTTGACTTAGATGTTTCCTATAAAATATTTACCTACTAAATTAAGGACTTGTTTTGATTAGGCTTTCACAGAGCTTCAAGCCAAAGTTATTGACACTCAGCAGAAGGTGAAGCTTGCAGACATACAGATTGAACAGCTAAACCGAACGAAAAAGCATGCACATCTTACAGATACAGAGATCATGACTTTGGTAGATGAAACTAACATGTATGAAGGTGTAGGAAGAATGTAAGTAAATTGTATCCTTGATGGGGTTTTCTTGGGAGAACTTTTATCTGAATTAAATTATAGAATTTGTTCATCTTAAAACTTGGGTTAAAGTATCATAGAGATAACGTTATTTATTTATTTTTTTGAGTTGGAGTCTCACTCTGTCGCCCATACTGGAGTGCAGTACCACACTCCCGGCCACCGCAGCCTTGACCTGCTGAGCTCCAGCGATCCTAATGCCTCAGCCTTCCAAGTAGCTGGAACTACAGGCGTGCACTACCACGCCCGGCTAATTTTTTTGATTTATTGTAGAGATGAGGTCTTGCCAAGTTGCCCAGGCGGGTCTCAAACCCGTGGGCTCAGGCAATTCACTCACCTCGGCCTCCCAAACCGCAGGATTACAGGCTGAGCCACCGAGCCCGGCCTGTAGAGATAACTTTAAAGGCCATCTAGTCAAATACCATTAAACCAGACCAAAAAACAAAATGAGGAACTTGGCTGGGCATGGAGGCTCACACCTGTAATTGCAGCACTTTGGGAGGCCAAGGTAGGAGGATTGCTTGGGCCCAGGAGTTCAAGGTCAGCCTGGACAACAAAGCAAGACCTCATCCCAACAAAAAAATTAAAAAAATTAGCTGGGTGTGGTATGTGCCTGTAGTACCAACTACTTGAGAGGATGAGGTGAAGGATCGCTTGTGCCCAGGCGGTTGGGGCTGTGGTGAGCTGTGATTGTGCCACTGCATGCCAACGTGGGCAACAGAGTGAGACTCTGACTAAAAACAAAAGGAATTGAACCTCAGGTAGTGTTTAATTTTAGACTTTGAAGTATATTTCTTTTTTTTTTTTTGAGTTGTAGTCTCACTCTGTCACCCAGACTGGAGTGCAGTGGCTGCTCCCGGCCACCGCAGCCTCGACCTGCTGGGCTCAGGCAATCCTTCCACCTCAGCCTTCTGAGTAGCTGGAACTACAGGCGCGGCTGATTTTTTGATTTATTGTAGAGATGAGGTCTCCCCTGCCCAGGTGGGTCTCGAACCCATGGGCTCAGGCAATCCACTCACCTCAGCCTCTTTTTTTTTGGAAACAACTTCTCACTATGTTGCCCAAGGGGGTCTCAAATTCCTGGCCTCAAGCAGTCCTCCTGGTTTGGCCTCCCAAAGTGCTGGGAGTACGGTGTGAACCACTGTGCCCAGCTTGAAGCATGTTTCTTAACACTGCCCTATTCTTCTCTCTGTGATTAGGTAATTACATGTATAGCTTCAATGATAAAAATATGATTCGTCATGGGAAAATATAGCAATTTTGTATCGTATGTGAAGATTTATTTAAGTAGGTGTAGTTTTAATGTCCTCTTTCCTAACCTCTTCCCTGCCTAATTTAATAAGAGTGATACAAATCGTAAATCTTTTAAATGTCTGACTAGTGTTATAAAATAAAAAAGATTCAATTGTCATTTGAAGGCACTCATTCTAAGTGTCTCTTCCTTATGAGAGAGAATAGGTCTGCTTCATATTCTCTAAGACAAAAAAAAAAAAAAAAAAAGGAATGGAAAAGCCCTTGAATACAGGTCACATTCCATTACAGTGAGCTAAAAGGAGCAGACTGACTTTTTTTTAAAGTGAGAGAAGGGGAGGCATGGGAGGAGGGTTTTTCTGGAATTTGGTCTTTGAATATGACTTAGTTAAGTGAACCATTACTTCACATTTGGAAATCTTTTAGTTAGATTGGAATTTGACCTCAGTCTTGAGATGACTTATTTTGTGATTGATTTGAAGGAAGCATAACATGTATAACATTTAATAGTGGCTTTGGAATGACATCATGAGAAGTGGACCCTTCTCGTGACTGACTAATTCATATCTTTCTGGATAAGAGATAGATTCTGGTAAACTGTTCGTCTGATTTGTTTTCTCAGAATGAAAAATATAGCAAAAATACATTTTATTTCAAGTTCATATATTTTATTTTAGCTTGTTTTAAGAGGATGAAAATCTCAATTTGAGAGTTTGTTACTGGGACACAAAAGAATTGGAATGAGAACAAAGTAGAACCCTTGAACATGTGTCTGTATAGTATGAAGTACATCGTTGGCATTCACTAGAGGATAATTTTATCCTTAATGTGAATATCCTTAGGTCTTAAAACAGTAATGCTGGCTTTTCTAGCATGCCAATTAACATGTTGTACTTGGATTTCACATCACTACACTAGCCTTTGTTTGCAACAGCTAAAGAATCCCTTTTTCAAAATAGAAAAACTCTCACTATCTTTGGCCTTTTGAACTACAATGAAGTTTCTATTTTTAATTAGAGTAATTTTGTTTATTAAATGGTCTGCAGAAGTGATAGGAGAGTTGCCTTTTTCTTTCTTTCTTTTTTTTTAACATACTGTTCAAAGTGCTACAGATGGGTTTTATTCCACAAAAAGAATTTTAGAGTTTAAAGGCTGTTATATGAATTCGTTAATGGTAGAATGGTATTATTTCCAGAAAATTTGTTTCATATAAATTATGTTTCTTAAGAGAAATGTATAGTTTTAAATGTTTGGATAAAATCAGGCTCTTGCATGATTTCAGACTTTGGTTTTAAATTTAACGTTTGTGCTTTCTGCATCTCACTGGCAGTATAAGTTTGACCCTGCGTTGTAGGGGCATGTAAGGTGAATAGCGTTTGTTGTTTGGCTAGAGTATTAGTGCCCTGAGAGGAAGAAAAGACTTGCTGAGTATTAGTCTGGTCATGAGGATGTTCTCGTTCTTGATGCTAAACCTGAAATATCTATTTCTGAATTTATAGTCTTGAGTAATTTTGGGTATCATTGTGATTCACCTCTTTAATTCTAGTCTTTACCTTAATTTGTCTTTTCTTTTGCTTTTTGAGTGTTATTTGGAGAATTCTAATTAGAATATTAATTTTTCTCAAAATTTGTTTCAAAACCACAGATTATAGAATCCAAAACTCCATTTTTGTTTTAGAACCTGTGGTAGATTTTTCTATTGCTAAAATTCAGGCCTCATTGCTTCTTGCTTGGAATGTTTTGATGGTTTTCTGTTTTTTGTTTTTTGAGTTGGGATCTCTATTACCCAGACTAGATAGAGTGTAGTTGCATAATCATGGTGCACTGCAGCCTTGAACTCTTGAGCTCAGCAATTCTCCCTCAGCATCCTTAGTAGCTAGGACTAGAGATGCACACCACTGTGCCTGACTAATGGATTTGATTTTTTTTTTTTTTTTTTTTGTAGAGAGAAGGTCTCGCTGTGTTGCCCAGGCTGGTCTCAAACTCCTGGGCTCAAGCAATCCTCCTGCCTCAGCCTCTCAGTGTGCTGATTACAGGCATGAGCCACCATGCCTGGCCTATGATAGCATCTGTCCTTTTTTCCTGCCTTGGTTCTGTCTGTCCAAATCTATTCTACACAGATCTGTCAGAATTGATCATATCACTATTCTTCATAAAATCTTTTGTTCATCCTCTGTTGTCCACAGGATAAAATCTAAACTTGTTGGTCTGGCATTCACAGTCATTCATAATCTGTTCTTAATTCACTCTTCTAACCTCAAGTCCCACCACATTCTTTTTTTTCCAGGCCAGGATAGCATTTGCATTTCATCTCATGGATTTACTTCCTTCTACTAGTTTTGTGTTATCTGTTGAGAAGAATTTTGTGGTTTTGTGTGGGCTTTCAACATACTTTAATTGATTATTGATGTCTGTTGCATGGTGAGGGTGGAAGAGTAGTAGCACATGTACCAGAAATTGTTATCTGTATCCGTGCCACATAGGTTTTCTCACACATGCCATGCTTTTATGCTTTTTTGATTTTGCTCATTCTGTCCTTGGCTAACAATATCCTTCTTTTCCTTGTGAAATTTTCATCCTCAAGACATAGCTTGAATCTTATTTTGCCTCTGAAGATTTTTCCAGCCCCTGGGCAGACTCATTCACTCTTTCCTTGATGAAACCAGGGCTTTTATTCCTACAGCTAGTGAAACACATAGAGCATGTAGGTGTGTTTTAAATGGGTCAGTCTCCCTAACCAGATTGTCAGCTCTTCGAGACCAAATACATATTTATCTTTGTTTCCTCATTTCTCAGTATAATGTCTGGCACAAAATAGGTGTTAAATAAATGTGTGTTGATTTGGGTTGAATCTGATTCTTTCTCTTGCTTAAAATAACTGCATTTTTTTTCTTGGTTCTTCAGAAAAAAAGCATGTTTAGAAAGTGTCAGAGATTTAAGAATTAGAGTTTATTCTATTTTTAACATATGATTCAGTCAAAATGAAATTATTAAAGTTACATTTTGATTAAGGTCAAAAGGAATTGTTTCTGACAAATTACATCCTTTGATTTGACATGATTAATTCTTTATTAAATCCATTGGGAAGATTGACTAATTCTGAATGCCAGCCAGTTATAGGGATACTCAGAACTGACAATATAGAAAACCCAAACCTTTAAAATTATACTGAGGGTAGTAAAGTCCTTGGAGAGTTAAGGCTAGTCTATGCAGAATAATATCATTGTAATTGTTTCCATTTTACCTTCCTCGTCTACACATAGAATGGAAGTCAGAGTTTTCTTTTTAAGACATGTATTTAGTTAAATCATTGCAAAGCCCAGACGTGTTTCAACTTAGAAGTATGGAGAAATGTGATACTGTTAAATACCGCTTATACATGGCTGTTTTGGTTTAAAACAAGGATAGTCAAGCTACAGGTTAAGAGATGATGAATTGCTATATACTGTAAGCTCCGAGAATTTGTTGCTCAAAGCTATATTCCATCCAGTCTTTTGGCATGTTGCCAGCACATTTTAGTTCTCTTACTTCATATTCTTTGGAGAGGCTGTTATGTAGCCTGATACTACTACCACCAATTTCGAGTTTTGCTACTTAAGCTGTTTGTGAGCTGACCTCACCATACTGCTTTGAGAACTGTGATGAAAGTTACAACTGTGGAATGATCTGTCTGAATATTTGGAAGTGTTTGTCTTTGCGTCTTTCTAGCATGCAATGGGAATAGACAA